GTGTGTGTGTGTGTGTGTGTGTGTGTGTGTGTGTGTATGCACATATGTAGGCTGGAAGTTTGAAAAGATCTTCACCAATCCTACATCTGACAGAGGACTGGTTTCCAAAATGTGCAAAGAACTCAAGAAGCTAGTCACCAAAACACCAAACAACTCAATTAAAAAGTGGGGTTCAGAACTAAATAGAGAATTCTCAATAGAGGAATCTAAAATGGTTGAAAGGCACTTAAAATACCATCTTACACTGACCAAAATGACTAAAATCAAAAACACCAATGACAGTCTATGCTGGAGAGGATGTGGAGAAAAATGAGCACTCCTTCGTTGCTGGTGGGAGTTCAAACTTGTGCGGTCACTTTGGAAATCAGTATGGCAGTTTCTCAGGAAAGTGGGAATCAATCTACCTCATGATCCAGCAATTCCACTCTTGAGCATATACCCAAAGGTTGCACATTCATACAACAAGGACATATGTTCAACTATGTTCATAGCAGTGTTGTTTGTAATAGCCAGAACCTGGAAGCAATCTAGATGCCCCTCAGCTGAAGAATGGCTAAAGAAAATGTGGTACATTTACACAATGGAGTACTACTCAGTGGGGAAAAAAACACAATGAAATCTTGAAATTTGCAGGCAAATGGATGGAACTGGAAGAAATCACCCTGATTACCTGTGAGGCAACCCAATCACAGAAAGACAAGCATGGGATGTACTCTTTCCTAAATGGATATTAGACATAGAGCAAAGGACTACCAGCCTACAATCGACACCACCAGAGAAACTGGGAAACAAGGAGGACCCTAAGAGAAAAATGCATGGTCCCCAGAAGAAAGGGAAAGGGACAGATCTCCGGAGCAAATTGGGAGCATGGAGAGGAAGGTAGGAAAAAGAGAAGGGGAGAAGAGAAGTGGGGAGGAGAACAAGATGGATCAGGAAGACTGAGATGGGGAGGAATAGAGGAGAGCAAGAAAGGAAATACCTTAATAAAGGGAGCCAGTATAGGTTTAAAGAGAAATCTGGCACTAGGGAAATGTTCAGAGATCCACAAAGATGACCCCACCTAAGAATACAGGCAGTAGTAGAGAGGCCACCTTTGATGCCCTTCCCCTATAATGAGATTGATGACTACCTTAATTGCCATCCTAGATTCTTCATCCCGTAGCTGATGGAAAGTAGAGGCAGGCACCCACAGCTAAATACTAAGCCATACTCCTAGAATCCAGTTGTAGATAGGGAGGAGGGATGAGCAAAGGAGTCAAGACCTTGCTGGAGAAACCTACAGAACCAGCTGACCTGACCTAGTGAGAGCGCACGGACTCTGGTATAAAGCTGGGGAACCAGCATTGGACTGAACCAAACCCTTTGTATGTGGGCGCCAGTTAGGAGGCCTGGGCAGTCTATGGGACCTCTAACAGTGGAACCAGTATTTATCCCTAGTGCACAAATGGACTTCCAGAGCCCATTCCCTATGGAGGGATACTATTTCAGCCCATATACATAGAGGAGGGCCTAAGCCCTCCCCCAAATTATGTGACAGACTTTGATGATCCTCCATGGAAGGCCTCACCATCTTTGAGGAGTGGGTAGGGGGGTGGGTTGTTGGGTTTGGTAGGGGGATTGGGAGGTAGAGGGAATGCCCCCCCGGGGGAATTGATATGTAAAATGATTGTTTCTAAAAAAAAAACATGTAAAAAAAAAGAAGCATTTCCTCTTTATTCTTCACTAGTGATGTTACCATCATTAGTTTGTTTTTTTACATTATTGGAAGAATTCACTTAATGACAGCTGAACCTGAAGATCTCTTTGTGGAGAAAATTCCACACTCATTTTCTTTAAAAGGTGCAAATTTACTCATACTTTCTAATTATTTTTATGCCAATTTTGGTGAATTATGTTTACTTATGGGACTTTCATGTCCTCTGAATTTTCAATTTTATTGTAATCAAAGATTCATAATGTTACATTCAGACAGAGCAGGGATTCATTTCAATGTCACAATGCTTGCCTGGCATATATGCGCCATAGTTGTGACTTCCAACATCACTACATTCTTTAAATGTTTACTGTAGGGGATTCATAGCTCTGTTCCCAGCATCAGCAATTTCTCCTTCTTTACAATTCTTTCTTATCCTTGCTATGGGCTTTTCATAGTCTAATAAGGTATCTGCTTTTATCTTTGTGGATTTTTATTATACTTTTCTACTTTATCAATTTTGTTTTGTTTTGGTTCTTTTTGAGACAGCGTCTCTCTCCATAACTCTGGTTTTCCTGAAATTCAATATGTAGGCAAGGCAGGCCTCAAACTCACAAAGATCCACCTGCCTCCAGAGTACTGGAAATAAAGGTGTATTCTGTCATCCCCAGCTTCAAATACCCCTATATGCTGGATACATATGTGTT